ATTTTTCCACAGGTTTTTGTACCTGCATTTTTAATTACGCACTGTATTTTGTGTTTTCGGGTTACGACGGATAATGTCCTGGAAAATGCATATTTTCCTTACAGTGTACTGTAAGAAACAGTGTAACTCATCAACAATCGCAGGTACAAGCTACTAACAAAGTGTCTCATAAATGAAAAATAACAGTATTCAATTATTCAATTATTATTACTATTAAACAATTGCAAATAACTTAATTCCTGTAACGTGTGTACTGCTAGGCATCTTTGGTTTCCTCTTTTTGTGTAATTTAAATGCTAAATTGTGCCTTTTTATCGTTTGAGTCACTTATCAAAAGTTGCTAAAAGCTGCCAAATACATGTTTTAAAATAGCTAAATTTGCCGCTAGGTGCTTTTGGAAGAAAAAGTTGCTAGGGTAGTCTGAAAAGTTGCTAAGCTGGCAAGACTTGTTTCTAATAACTTCAGTAATAACTGCATTCGAATGCGATCAACGGCTCAAGCCTCCATTACCAGCTTTCGAATGGAGTGTTGGAACTAAAGAGGCGTTGGATGAGATGCGGAAGAAATAATCCTTCTCACAATAGCGATTTAAGTACAACAACCGGAAGAATCCCTTTAAATATATCGTCTTGAGGTGTGGTAACCGTAGTATAAGTGGAATAATTGACTCAATTATAATAATTGAATAATTGATTCCACTTATTCCACTGAATAATTGAAATAATGCACACCCGAGGTGTAACGGCCACGATCACCACCTCAGGTGTGCATTATTTTTCTAATAATTCAACGACCCGTCGTCAATTATTCCTTACACAGAGTAAGGTGTGTAGATGATATCATAATGACAGGCTTCAGATGTGTATGATATCCTATCAGTGCGCGTGACTGCAGAAGGTTGAGCAAACAAAGCGTCACGTGAGGGCCGCTTGTTTTTCCTGTTGTGGTTTACACAAGCACGGCTTAACACAGACACTGGCAGGAATGGCTCTACTCGTTTTATTATGTTTGCTTGGTCATGTTTGGAACCTGCAGGTTTCTGCTGCGCCGGTTAATAATGCCTTCAAACACCTGCAGAGCGCAGGTAAGTGTTCAGAGTCACATCAGGTAACTTGGGCTACTTCATGTCTCCGGAAGTTGGCTTTACGTATAAGTTTGCTCTGTGGCGCACACACTTTGCATGCGTTTGCATTTGCTGGTCTTTTTTGGATGTTTTAACAGACATGCCTTGGCGTTTCTCCTATTGAGTCAGATTCTTATACATTTACAGTGGTCCATCTTACGGGCCTGTTGTTGATAAGGGGTCCTTTTCCCAAAATCAAATGTCTACTGTAGCCTAGTTACCAGTAGAGTTTAGCGGAACTTTCGATGCTTATATAATAATATTAATCTCTTAACATCAAAGTACAAGTATTGATAGATTGTAATATATATTTGAATATTATGTACATTACATTACAATTATAATGATTATGCTGCATCACCCGATATATATATATAGTACCTTGCGAAAGTATTCATACCCCTTCATTTTATTCACGTTTTATGTTTCTGCCTTATGTTAAACTGCTTTAAATTACTTTTTATTCTACATCAATCTACACACCATACTGACAAAGCAAAAACGGAATTGTCACAACTTCATAAATGTATTTAAAAATGAAAAAAACGGCAATAACTACAATGCATAAGTAGCAAATATTCACAATGTTTCACAATTTTATGAGCAATTACTGTAAACAAGATTTGTTTCAAATGTCTGCTATTATATTAATAATGCTGGACAGTAGAAAAAAGTTAATAAAATGAACGGTTAACGGCCAATAATATCTGTCTACTGGGTCAAAATTTTTTTTTTTTTTTAAATATTTGCATGAGGAAGTCAATCTAAAGAGATGTCCATACACCATACTGACAAAGCAAAAACGGAATTGTCACAACTTCATAA